CTCTGTGTACCCTGCCTGTCCTAGAACTCACTCTGTAGACCAGGCTGGCCTCAAACTCAGAGACCCACGTGCCTCTGTCTCCTGAGTGCTGGGATTAAAGGCGTGCACCACCACTGCCCGACTTCCCACCCCCATCTTGGTTAATCAAATTACATTTTCCTGGTTTCTTAGGCCAATGCCTTGGCACCACCCTTGCCTCCTCCTCCTTTTGTCTTAAATCTCATCTCTGATCTGACTAGAAATTCTATGGGCTCTACATCCAAAACTTGCACTGGGTGTGGTTGGTAACTGTAGTCCAAGCCACCGTGGTTTCTCACCTCAGAACTATTTCCCTACTCTAATTATCACTAGCTACAAAATCAAGATAGGAGACAAGCCTATCCAAAAAAAAAAAAAAAGAGGGTAATAGGGAAGGCAGACTTGAAATATGTTCTTTTTCTTGCCTATGCCTCTTAATGCAACCCCCCTTCAATCTGCCGTATATGTTGCCAGAGAGGAATCTTTTGTAGAACATGATAGGAGACCAATTCTGAGATGTCCTGAATATAATAACAAAGGCTGATGCTAAGGGACGTGGGGAGAGGCCAGGGAGACACTCGGTTGACACTCGTTACCCTGAGAGAAAAAGCACTGTCCCATACTCCTGAGTAAATGTTGGAGCAGTGCTTAAACATCCTCTCTCACAGGAAACGTGTCAGCATGCTAACTGAGCCCAATCCAGAAGACCAAGCCCTTCAACTGTGGATAGCAGTGACCTGGTTATCCCTTAGATGGCACCCCAAGTAGATGGCACCCCAAGCAGTCTCACAAAGTGCCGTCCTACTCTATCGCCTGCAGCTGATATTAGCTGAACGGCAGTTTAAGCTCTCCTTACTGAGACGTTCTTGTCTCGGGTCTGCTTGAGTGTATTCCCAGCGGCTCTCCACTCTTGCTGCTAGAGGTTAGGAAGTTGTCTCTGGACGCGGTCCATTTCTTCCCAGCCGCTATGGACCATTAGCCCCATTTCACTTCAGAGACGCCTCAGTGAGTCTGGATTTAAGAGCAGGAGCTCCTAGCTATGTGCTTTAGATGAGTTCCTCGACATTACCTCCCAGGCAGGGTTGCGTACGAAGTCTCATGTCCTAACCACCCAGAGTTGCCAGCCAGGGGATTTCCAGGAAGGATTTGGAGACAGGAAAGAAGGGGAGATGTTCTTAGGAAAATAAAGCATGAGAGGAAATACATTTGCGCTATAGGCTGGCAGGAAGAGAAGAGCAAGTAGGTACAGCCGGAGGACAGTGGACTTTGGAAGTGAGGGAGAAGGCTGGAACTGGAAAGGCAAGCAAGACCTGGAACCAAAGGTTCCAGTGTTCGTGCCATCGAGCGATCCAAAACATTTCTATTGAACAGCCAGCAGAATGCTGTGGAATATCACTTTAACTAGGCAAAGATGTGTTGCCTAAACATTACTTAAACTGTGTAAAGATGGGTCACATTTGTTTTTGTTGTATTTGTTTCATTATGAAAAGATGTGTTGTTGTTTCACCTGGCCTACCTAAGGCACCTGATGGGTCTAATAAAAAGCTGACCGGCCAATAGCTCGGCAGAGAAAGGACAGGCAGCACTGGTGCGAAGAGAGAACAAGGAGGAGGAGAAATCTAGGCTTGAAAGAACAAAGAGATTGAGGGAAAAAGAGAGAGGGACACACCCGGAGCCAGCCAGGCCTTGGCAGAGCCTTCAGACACAGAGTAAAATAAATAGAAAGGTAAAAAAACAAAAAAACAAAAACAAAAACAAAAAACCCCTGAGGCCAAAGGTAGATAAGGAGAAACAGAATAAAATAATAGTTAAGATAAGACTGATAATTCATAATCAATAAGAAGTCTCAGTGTTCGTGGTCTGTGAGCTGGTTAGTGGCCCAAAGAAAAAAGTCTGGTGAAGTAGAATTAGGTTGGGTCTCAACCTGCAGGCTTCTGATCATAGTAGGAAGCTGACTTACTTACACAGCCTGGGGCAAAAGCAGGGTGTGGAAGAAAGAGGCAGGAGGCCTCTCACAAGAAGAGTTCCTTGGAGGAGAACCAGACTATATAAGGCAGAAAGCCACTCTGTTCAAATGCTGAGCCACTCTTGAAGAATGTCCGAGAAGTCCAGATGTAGTGGGACATTTTTTCCCCAAGTCAAATCTAAGCCAAACCAGGATTCTCAACTCTGAAAAAAAAAAATCAAATGCAAAAATAGCAGCCGGTCCCACTACAGGACAGTGAACGTAAACATGAGATAAACAGCCTCCTCCGCACGTGTTTGCTGGCTCCATGTTCTATGGAGGGTCCCCAAGTCAAGCACTCTGTGACTTCGAAACCATGAGACAAAATAAATATCTCTTTCTTGAAGTTGTTCTCAGATCTTACAATCCCAGTGATAAAGAGAAGCTAATATAAATTGCACGCTAAAACACTACAGCGTGTCTACCTTGGGGAGATCCTGGGAAGTTTGTTATTGTCACTATCATTGTTACTAGTGTTTTCCTTTCAATACGAATGCGTTTTACTTTGATCAAATCCACCTCCAGTTCCTCCCAAGTCTCTCTTTCCTTCTCCCCTCCCAGCTTTATAGTCTTCATTAAAAAACCCGCCGAGTCCACCTAATGCCGCCTGTACGCAAGCGAGGGCAGGGCTGGTTTACCGGAGCCCTGGGCACCCCTGAAGAAAACTGGCTTTCTGGCTTTCTCTCCCTGAGATCTTAATTTAAGCAAAGAAGTGAGGTCATGACCTCTCAAAGAATGCTCAGGCAGATAACACACGAAAGAAGGAAGACTAGTGGGATGAACAAGTTTTCAGACTTGCCCACCAGTCCACGATAAAACGATCGCAAACCTCCTGGTACCGGTATCCCAATGGAAAATCAGTTTTCTCCAATACGGTCTCACTAGGTATATCAACCACACTTTGGGGCAGGCCCCAACCCCAGGAACAAAACTCAATGGTATTTCTGATTCATTTTGTTTTGCTTTGGCATTTATTTATTTATTTATTTATCTTTTGCCTTTGTTTTGAGTTTCCTTTTGGTGGGGTTTCTTGTGTTTTGTTTTTGTTTCTTTGTTGTTCTAAAGTAAGAGAGAGAAAAGGGACATGAAGCTGGGTGATTAAGGAGGTAGAGAGGATTTGAGAGGAATCGGGGGAGGTGAAATATGATCAAAACATATCGTATGAAATTTTTTTTTCAACTAAAACAAAAATCAGTATGTCCCACTCCCAAATAGTGGTAAACTGACAGACACGGGCGAGTGCTGGGGTAAAACTGATACAAATATAACTAGGACCAGCTCCTAGCAAAGACAGAAAATCCAAAAATAAGAGTCTTAGCAAATACATTTATTTCTCTCTCAACATAAACCCGAAGCAGTGTACAAGAGGGTTCCACGGTCCCAGTGATGTGGGCCATTTCGAGCTAGCAGCTTCTCCTGTGCGCTCTCTCTCTCTCTCTCTCTTTCTCTCTCTCTCTCAGCACACAGTTCAAATTCATGCTGTAATGTGCAATTAGATCTATAGACCTTAACTCTTATGTTCCAGAGAACAGAATAGCGGTTTTGGTTATTGTCATGACAGATACTATATAGAAACCATACTTGATAATCTAAGCAGACTCAATTGCACGGCCTAAATGCAGAGAAGGTGCTCTTTCTGGCAGTCATGAGCCCAGCTAAATGCCTTCTAGTAGAGATGCAGAGAGTCCGAGGCAGCTAATAATCTATGTCAAACCAAACCCAGCCCACAGATGAAAGGAGAAAGTGCACAGCCAATGAATGGGTTTGGGATTTAGGTTAAATAGCTGGATTTTGTGTGCCCAGAATCGTTCTGTCCCCTAACACGCTGTTTCAGCCTCGGTTTCTGCTATGCTTTCTTGCCTCCTCCTCTTTCCCATGTTCAGGCCTATGGTTTTCCACAAAGATCCGGCTCGCCCTCAAGCCCCAAGCTCTACCCTCCATTATGTTACTCCTGATCCTCCTCAAAGAGGCAATCCTTGTGCCTCTAGAACAGAATGAATGTGCTTCCTGGGCCCTGCCTTGAAGCCAGGCACCATGCCGGGTTGGGTCAACGGAACATTTGGGAGAAGAGTGTACAGTAACCACTGGTTTGGAAGGAGATCCCCTCCCCCCAGCTCTTTTCTAGGCAGCCCAGTGTGGCAGAATGCACTAAATATCTGCAAGTTACACTGAGCATTTGCAGACAGTCTGTGTGAAGAAAGAGGGGAAGTGGTAGAAGAGGTGAATTTTCCCGTCTTTCAAAACAGACGGTGTCTGCAATGGTACAAGCCCCATTTTCAGAGCTGGTGGGGGCCTGCTTTGCTGAATAACACGGGTTGTTTCTCATTTTTCAGGTCTTAAAAAAAAAATCTCAGGCATCCTTCAACCCTCCTTTGCCTTTTACAGGGGGCGGAGCTGGGCTATACGTGCCGCTGCTCTATTGCCACCGTGGCCAGCACACATTTCACGATTGGTTTCTTCAGAGGGGTGGGTGTGATGTTGTCTTTTTCTGGCTTAGGTACTTGGGACTTGGAAATAGCCGAGCGAACCAAGAAAAAAAAAATCGACGACAAAAATAACTTCTGCCTCCCCGTCGGGGAATCGAACCCCGGTCTCCCGCGTGACAGGCGGGGATACTCACCACTATACTAACGAGGAACTGCACAACTTCAGCCTTTCTGATAAACCTTTTATGGATCTTAGATAGCCCCGCCCTCGAGAGGTCTATGCCAATAGACCTTTTCGCATTTCGTGGTGCCATCGTGGCTTCTACGGCAATCGACTGGAACTAAAATGGAGGTGTTCCATTCGCTGTCTCCACTCCACTCATCGTTTCCCCTACCCCTTCCCCCGCTGCAGACGCCCCCCGGCCCCCCCTCTTTCCCCCCCCCCCCAATCCCAGGCTGTCTAGCGCTGGCCTACTCGCGCTGCACCATGGGATCGGTAGTTCGGTCCGGCCCTCCCCTAAGCTCCTCGGAGGCTCGGAGCCTCCCTTTCCCGGCGTGCACCGCGCCGCCTACGCTCCAGGCTTCCCTCCGTTCTCCAGCTCGCTGTGGAAGTCTGGCGGTGGAGTGTCTGGGTGCTGGCCGATCGGGGTGCGACGGATCTTCCAGAACCATGCCCGAGGTCGCCGACACTTGCTCCTTGGCCTCTCCAGCCTCGGTCTGCCGAACCCAGCACCTCCATCTGCGCTGCAGCGTGGATTTCGCTCGCCGGGCGCTGACCGGGACCGCCGCGCTCACCGTCCAGTCTCAGGAGGATAATCTGCGCAGCCTGGTACGGGGGGCGCCTGTGCAGCGCCGCTTCTCCGGGGCCGCTTCTCCTCCCGCTCCTCGACCCTGCTCCCCGCGAGCCCCGAGATCGCTGGTCCTCCCCGCCCGGCCCCCTCTTTGGACTGCTGCACCTCTCTTTGTCAGGTCCCACGCATCCCTTGCTCTCAGCCTCACTTATGCATCTGCACTCTGTCCTTCGCCCTCCTCGTAGAATGGTCTCCTCCTCCCGCTCCTTCTCTTTTTCCTGGGCACAACCTAGCGCCCCCTTCGCGTTTCGCCCCTCACCCACTCCTGAGATATTCCGCCCCCCCATCTCAGTTCCCAGCGATTACCACTCGCACACCCCATAACCCCCTTCCTTGGCCCACGACTTAGAACCCCGCCCCAGACCTCTGCCCCTAGTGTACCGTCATTATTCCATAGTTTCACCCTACTCTCAGATCCCACATCTTGTGGTTCAATCCCCTTGGGGGTTCCCAGCTCCCCCTTGGGGTTCCCTGTCCGCCCCTTAAGGTTCCCTGCTCGCCCCCTTGGGGTGCCCTGCCAGCCACTTAGGGTTCCCTGATCTTTCCACCCTGTTTTGAGGTTTCTAGTCTCTGTCCTGTAAGCAACCCTTGCTCTTCAGGGCCTCTTCCTGCTTTTGCTTCTTTATCACCATTATCTTCTAATGAATTCTAAGAACCGGTGGGGGCCATCCAGCCTTCTAAGGATGACTCGATACAATGTTTTATTAAGTGGTTCCAAGGAGCAAGTCATTATTGCACTTTTTATATAAAATATGTACTTCTACAAATTCTCTAACCACTTGAATAAAGATTTGTTTAGAATCCTGAACTATTCAATGGTTTGATCTGTTCCATATCCTCGATAGTCAGTGTTCTTTTATTATCATCAGATCGAACTTTTTCCTTGAGCAGAAGTCATGAGAGAGCATTTTAGAAATAAGAGGAACTTGAAGGTCCCAGATGTGTTCAGCCTGCTAACTAGACGATGTGTTTTGAAGCCTTGGATGTTATCTTTACAGACGCGCAACGAGGGCTGGAATTTCGGAGTGAAATTAATGGAGTCAATAATTGGGCGAATTAGAAGGACAGATAAGAACTAGTGATTTTGAGTATTAAAATCTTTTTGATATTTGTCTAATAAAGCACTTAACTCTTCTATTGATATATAATTACTGGAAATACTGTTAGAAAGGAAAATGGAGGTCTTGCAAGCAAAGAAGGTGACTATTTCCTTGTAGACTGCCCTTTGATCTTGAAGAATCTACACTTGCTATCTCTAATTGCAGAGGCAGCTTTGCCTCAGGCATGGTAGAAGTTTTGTCTGCTTTGAATTTAGTTTCCTTTTATTTTTTTAAAAAAAAAAGAAGTGAATTTTGTTGGCTTATCACTGCTTCATATGACCTTAGACCACTCTTTATCCTGTAGAGATAGGAAGCTCCACCTCTGCTCCCAAAGTAACCAAGGGTTGGAGGCTTAAGTATTTAACACGACGTCCCAATCTTAAAGTGTATTTGCTCTTCTCTCTGGTCTTCAGAAAAGTAAGGCTTTAACATTTTGATTTTATGGGTGTCATATCTGTTTAGCAAAGTAGCTGAAATTTTAATGTGCAGTTTTCCGCAGAAGGGGTTATTATAGTTCAAAGTGACATCTGTGTGTAATTGTTTTGCTTGTTTATGACACCAGCCTGAGACCAAAATGCTTGGAACTGTTTATATTTATTTGAAGTTAACTTGCTTCTTTCTTTTAGTGGATTAGGAATTTCGTTCATGCGACAGGGTTCCTCTATAGCTCAGCTTGGCCTTGAGCCCTAATATGTAGTGCGGGCTGGCTTCAAACTCTTGAAGTTGAGATGTCTGCATCTCAACTCCCTGGGTTTGCACGGACACTGAAGAGTTCAATTGGAAAGCAGTGCCTAAATGGAATAGGGGTCACATGGCTAACAGTGCTGTCTGTATCACAAAGTGGTCGTGCAGGCACTGTGTGATGAGAAGGCAGAGCGGTTTTTTTACCACTCCATTCTTAAAGTCTGTGATAGTGGGGAGTCTAGTGGTCCCTCCAAGAGGACTAATTCCCACCTGTCTAAAACCCTTTTCCAGTTTCAGGCTCGTTACACTGAAGCTTTCTATTCAGAATTTGTAACTTCCAAGCATTTGTTTCTTATCTTGAATTTTCCAGTCTTGTTTAGGCGTTCTTCAGTTAGTGACCCTGAGGGTTTTGTGTCGCAGCCCAGCCAGGCGTTGACTCTGCCTGCGTCTTCCCAGCTCCGCTGTAGAGTGGCTGAGCTGGAAATCATCATATCAAACTGGTTTGGGTTTTGATTTTGGTTTCATCCTATATATTCCTGTTTGTCTGTTTGTTTTCTATGTGGACAAGTTGTTTTTAAAAAATAGAAACATAGTATAGAGGCGTAGGTCTTTCCCTATTCAAACCTACTTTTGTTGGTTTTTTTTTTGTTTGTTTGTTTTCTGGGACAGTTTTTCTCTGTGTTACAGCCCTGGCTGTCCTGGAACTCGCTCTGTATACTGGGCTGGCAGCTAATTCACAGAGATCCACCTGCCTCTGCCTCCCGAGCGCTGGGATTAAAGGCACGTGCCGTCATGCCTGGCCTCAAACCTGCTATTATTTAGAAAGAACTTGAGATTGGTTAACATATGCAGAGACTGGCCATGTAGCTTTGTGGTACCGAGTTTGCCTAGCATGTGTGACCCCTTTTTAGGACCAGGAAAAATAAAATAACATATATAGTAGAATAAGATTCTAAAAAGGACTCTATGGGAAGAGAGTAGATGTAAGAGAATCAAGACATAGCATAGAGCCCAATCAGTCTCCAAAAATGTGCTGTAGCCGGACATGCCTTTCATCCCAGCACTCGGGAGGCCGAGGCAGGCGGACCTCAGTGAGTTCGAGGCCAGCAAACAAACAGGAAGTGTGCGCTGTAAAGTTGACATGGAACTTCCCAGCAGCTTGTGCAAAGGGCAGAATGACTTAGGTTGTTGCATGCCACCCGTTGGGGAATGCGGAGTTCTTTTGTGTGTTGTCTAACGAGGGACACTGTGACAGATAGGAAATCATTTCCATAGAAGCTTCCTGTCGTGTGCAAGGCGGTGTCTCGTAGCTGTGTGAGTAGCTCGACTTTGTGGCTAGCTGGTGCTGGGTGAATGTCTGCCGGGAGGTCTGATTCTAACTCCTCAGTCATCCAGGTTCCTTGGTTTTCTTACTGCTGCTTTACGTAGCAGTCACGGTCAGTAACGTGTCAGTAACGTGAGTGAAATCTGAAGGAGAATTTCTTAGACTGTTTGGAAATAAGGGTTGAGGTTTGGGATGGGCTCTGTAGCTTTTTTTTAAATATTTATTTATGTATTTATTATGTATACAATATTCTGTCTGTGTGGGCCTGAAGGCCAGAAGAGGGCACCAGACCTCATTACAGATGGTTGTGAGCCACCATGTGGTTGCTGGGAATTGAACTCAGGACCTTTGGAAGAGCAGGCGATGCTCTTAACCACTGAGCCATCTCTCCAGCTCCTGGTTCTGTAGCTTTTTAAAAATGCGTTTTCTGTCTTGTTTTGGTCTAGAACTTGGCTTCATGGGTAAATTGCCATCTGATGTTTTTCGGGTACTGAGGGAAGCCTTGGCCATGCGAACCTGGGTACCATTCTCTTTAAGCATCCTCAGTTATAGTGCAATACTGCCGTCGGTGTCACTTGAGAGGGCGGGGCTAACTGCTAGAACAGTCAGGAGACCTGAAAGTGGCTTCCCAGAAAGTAATCATTATAATAACTAACTCCTTTGTACAGATCTGAAAAGTTTAGGCAGTAGGGAAGCTGGTCCAGCCCCTTTGGATGTCAATGTGGCGATATCTCAGAAAATTAGGAAACAACCTTCCTCAAGACCCAGTAATACCACTTTTGGGTATATATCCAAAGGATGCTCAATCGTACCACAAGGACATGTGCTCAACTATGTTCATAGTAGCTTTGTGTGTCATAGCCAGAACCTGGAAACAACCTAAATGCCCCTCGACCAAAGAATGAATAAGGAAAACATGGTACATTTACACAATGGAGTACTATACAGCAGAAAAAATATCGACCTCTTGAATTTTGTAGGAAAATGGATGGAGCTAGAAAACATCATTTTGAGTGAGGTAACCCAGACCCAGAAAGACAATTATCACATGTACTCACTCATAGGTGGTTTTTAAACATAAAGCAAAGAAAACCAGCCCACAAATCACAATCCCAGAGAACTTAGACAATAATGAGGACCCTAAGAGAGACATGCATAGATCTAATCTACATGGGAAGTAGAAAAAGACAAAATCTCCTGAGTAAATTGGGAGCATGGGGACCATGGGGAAGGGTTGAAGGGGAGGGGAAAGACAGGGAGGGGAGCAGAGAAAAATGTAGAGCTCACTAAAAACCAATAAACAACAAAAAAAAACTATCATACACCTTTAATTCGTAGTTTTCCACCAGATTTTACTCTGAAAGTAGCTGGTTTCATTCTCACTGTGGTAAACTTACATCTTGTTCGTTTCTATGAATGATGCATAAAGCCATTTTCTTCTGGTTGATTTTAGACTTTGGATACGAAGGACCTGACGATAGAGAAAGTGGTCATCAATGGACAAGAAGTCAAATACACTCTCGGAGAAAGACAAGGGTACAAAGGGTCACCGATGGAAATCTCTCTGCCCATCGCCCTGAGCAAGTATGGCTGCCCTCCGCTTCTTATGACTGAGTAGTGGCCAAGAGTATTTTAGAATAATTCAGGCATCGTTCCTGTGTTTCTAACGCCTGTGTATATGTAGTGGCAGGTCACTTCTGCAGTCTGTTCACATTGGTCTTGACAGTGAAAAATGATATGTTCTTAAAACGCTGAAGGAAGGAGGTGCACGAAACCCTGGTGACCAGGACACTGGAGATGCCCGTCATCCCCCCGATGTTTGGAGCGGTGGGGAGCATAGAAAGCCACCCTCTACGTCTGTCCCAGAGGGCAGCTGCTGGGACTGACGGAGCAATAGTCGTAATACCAGGCGTCGAAAGGCTGACTTTGTACCACTCTGAGTATCAGTGCTTAAGCGTCGACTTTAATTCCTTAAGCCCCCCCTCTGCCTAGGAGCTGCACTTGCAGACGAGGAAGGGGACTGGAAGAGAAATGAAGTTATTCATGGAAGACGATAGTAGCCAGACTCATCAGGCAGGTGTCCACCCTACCCCTACTTGGTTGGGGAGCGAGAAAGTAGAAACTATTAGCCTGAAACAAGGGCGATCTCTTCCCATCTTCCAATATCCCTATGCCTTCTCCTCACCTTGAAGAAAGAGAAGGAAAACACAGCGTAGCTTGGGCAACTGCATCATTAGCCACATTGTACAGGTGAAGAAAGTGGTATGTTGAGGTCAGGTCAGTGTACGGGGTCTGTGTTTGGTATGTTGAGGTCAGGTCATTGCCCCAGTGTACGGGGTCTGTGAGTGGTGGGGTCAGGATTTCAATATAGGTTAGGCTGCCTGCTTCTCCCTCATTATCAGCCCTTCTGAAACTCTGGGGTGAAGAGCCAGTTTTTGTTTCCTCTAGTCTTGGAGAAAGGGTGTTTTTATATACGTATAAATTTTTAAGATTTTTTTTATTATATATTCAGTGTTCTGCCTGCATGTATCCCTGCAGTCCAGAAGAGGGCACCAAATCTCATTACAGATGGTTGTGAGCACATGTGGTTGCTGGGAATTGAACTCAGGACCTTTGGAAGGGCAGGCAAAGCTCTTAACCACTGAGCCATCTTTCCAGCCCCGAGAAAGGGATTTTTTAATTATTAGATTCTACAGCTACAAAAATGACTCTGCACGTTTCTTTTTCCTGATGTGACTTACCATCAAGAACAGAATCGGTCACGTGCTGGCACCCACCGCTGAGGTAGGCAGAGTGGTAAAATTGGTTCTTCCGCATCCCCACTGTCACAGCAGACAAAGTGATGTCACCGCTGCAAAGTGTGTGGCCCATCGTGTGTTCATTGGTACGACAGAGCGATAAGAAACCCCAGGCTGACACTCAGGTAGCAAAGTCAGAGTCAGATTTACGTAAGCTGCTGCGTCTCTAGAACTCACTCCAAGTCAGTGAGACCTCAGGAGAATTACTTATGCTATTCCCTATGTGTATTCCGGATTCAAATTCTGTAAGGTTTGTAATTATACTCTATTAATATCAGTGTTTGTCTCATGCAGAAATCAAGAGGTTGTTATAGAAATTTCCTACGAGACTTCTCCCCAATCCTCTGCTCTTCAGTGGCTCACTCCTGAACAGACTTCTGGGAAGCAGCACCCGTACCTCTTCAGTCAGTGCCAGGTAAGGCTGCCCAGAGACTGACGGAAGGTTCCTGGCACATGCAGGGTGCAGGGCTTATACAACACACTGTTTTGTTTCATAGTATGTAAGACAACATATACTCTCGTATATACTTGTTATTAATACAGATTTCTTTTTTTAAAAAAGATTTATTTATTTATTGTGTATACAGTGTATACAGTGTTCTGTCTGTCTGTATGCTTGCTGGCCAGAAGAGGGCACCAGATCTCATTGCAGATGGCTGTGAGCCACCATGTGGTTGCTGGAATTGAACTCAGGACCTTTGGAAGAGCAGGCAGTGGTCTTAACTGCTGAGCCATCTCTCCAGCCCCTAATACAGATTTCTTTGACTTGGAAACAACCTGCCTAAGTTGAAGTATTTAAGGCTTATTTATACTTCCCAAGCACCTAGAATACACCTGTCCCTTGAGTAGGGATGTAATGTTAGGGTCTAAAATGCAGGAAAATTTAATGAACAAAATTCCTGTGTGTTAATTGCAGAAATGCTACCAGTGAAAAGGAGAACGCTGAAAGATTGCATTCCTAGTTGTAAAATATATTAAGCATACTTTTAAAATGACAGGATTTCAAATACTCCTTTACATTCTGAAGCTAGAGTTAAAATACTGTATAATGAGAGATACTTTATTACAAGGATAAATAGAAAAATTTTTCTGAAGAAAATGTCCTAATTCTGTTAATCAAGTCACTTATGGCTAAAGAAAGCTCCTTGTTAAACATTGACTGTGTTTCCGGGCATCACGCCAGATACTCTGCGTTGTTTAGCCGGTCATGCTAATACTCCTGTGTGGTAGCTATCATGCTGAGCCCAGAGTCAGTTTAAAATGCATAAAATGACAAAGTATGTTTTAAACCCAATTACTTTGTATGGCACTACTTGAAATACCTTTTTAACCTAAGACAATTCTCTGGAAGAGGGCCGGGGCTGTAGCTAACTTGCAGTGTTGGGTTGGGCCTCCAGCAGCACAGGAATTGGATGTGGTGGTGCGTGTTCCTGTTTCCAGCTCTTGGTAAGGGTGTGAAAGCAGGAGGATGGGAAGTACTTGGCTACCCTTGGCTACATAGCTAATCAAAGGCCAGCTTGGGCTAAATGAGACTCTGTCTCAAAAAACAGACAAATGTGCACACACACACACACCACATACATATACACACACCACATACATACAACACGTACACACACACAACACATATATACACACACCAAAACAAGCAAAAAAAAAAAAACTACAGAAAATGTCTTGAAGAAGATAAGAAGTATTAGGCAAAAATTAAGAATATGCAAATCGTGGACCCAGTATCACTTCCTATTAGCTGATTTTCAGCCAGTATTTCTCATAGAAGGTCCGTAAGGTAAAGGTAACAAGAAACGTGATACGTGTGAATCATCCCAAGGATGTAAATTTTTAAGCGTTTCGTTCCAGGCGTTTACTGGCATTGTTTAAAGGACAGGAAGCAGATTCCAGGCCGATTAAGAATTTGTTGCGGTTGACCGGCAGTGTGCAGATGTGATGTGATTGACACCTCCAGCTGTTGTGCGCGGCTGTCTCTTTACCCGGGTTTGATTTAGTCAGCGAAATGCGTATAACAATGCCGCAGTGTGGCCAGGCCACCTGTCCGTGTGCTCCTGGGAGCCTGCTTGGTGAGACAGAACCGGTTCATGCGTCTGGCGGTGCTATATCCCAGCATTACATATTTTTAAAGATTTGTTTATTTTATTTTATGCGGATGGGTGTTTTTGCCTGCGTGTGGCTGTGTACCACGTGTGTGCAGGGCCCGTGGAGGTCAGAAGAGAGCCTTTATTGTCTGGACTACAGTTGACTACAGTTCCAGGCGGTTGTGAGCTGGCATGTAGGTGTTGGACAACTGAACAAGCGTCCTCTGCAGGAGGGACAAGTGTCAGTGTGTTGCTCTGTCCCTCAAGGTTTTGTTTTTGAGGAGTCCTCTAAATATGAGAGGCTTGAGTCTGATTGTAGTGGTGGCGGCGTCGGGGCAATAAGTTCATGCATGTGTGTGTATGTGTAATTCACTTTGGTTTTCAAAATAAGTTTGTCCAGTATTAGCTATGACATTTTCTTTTTTCTTTTTTTTTAATCGTTTCTCTCTATGTCTCTTTTGTTTTTTTTTTTGTTTTTTTTTTTAACATAGGATTTCTCTCTGTAGCCCCTGCTGTCTCGGAACTTGTTCTGTAAACCAGGCTGACCTCAAACTCAGAGATCATCCTGCCTCTGCCTCCCAAGTGCTGGGGTTAAAAGTGTGCACCACTATGCCTGGCTAGCTATGACATTTTCAAACCGTGTTTTAGTAGAGTCTGGGGAGTTTTTCAAATTTTCGTTTCATCGTTAAAATCAGCACGTAAAGGACTATGTTAGGTATCATGATGGCTGTTTTTAAAGAAAATGTGTTGCATAGCATCTGGGGATTTTAAGGAAGTCCAGGATTTTTAGCAGCTTCAGAGAGGGGTGTTAGTAAGAATATGCCCTTAAGCACAGCACAGTGTCCTAACAAAGCCTGGCTTCTTTGCTTAGCTGTAATAGATCAGACACAGGCGGTTTATAAAGCTGGCAGAGGTGGGGACACAGGGACATTCCAGAGCGTATAGAGGTGGTCCCGTCTAGATGGTCCTGAGCAATGCTGCTCTCTTGCCTTTCCCTTGTTTTTACTCTCCAAGTCTCTGCAGATGGGTATGTCCAGACAGTAACCTTCCTCAAGTTATTTTCTTGAAGACACTGACATCCTATTAGATTTCCAGAAAGTAGGGTTCTTGCTTCTTGTTAAAACGAGTGTGAGGAATCCAAGAGCTTGCTATAGGTCTTTTTTTTCTTTTTTCTTTTCTTTTCTTTTTTTTTTTTCCCGAGACAGGGTTTCTCTGTAGCTTTGGAGCCTGTCCTGGAACTAGCTCTTGTAGACCAGGCTGGCCTCGAACTCACAGAGATCCACCTGCCTCTGCCTCCTAAGTGCTGGGACTAAAGGCATGCTTGGCTTTGCTGTAGGTCTTTTAGAGCCCCGGGAACTTATGTTCCTGGTGACACACCTAGACGATGTGATAAATTTACAAATTTGTTTCACAATAGAGCCCTGCTTGCTCAGGGATCCTATGAGTCTCCCTTTCTGCATGACTATCATCAGCACAGGACAGTGTATGCCACGTTTCAACCCGTGAAGGTTCACCAGGGATAAAGAAGAGGGTGTGTGTGTGTGTGTGCGCACGCGTGCACGTGTGCGTGTACACGGGGGTGTTGTTTACATGTGTACTTGTGGGTGGTGTTGTTTACGTGTGTACTTGTGGGTGGTGTTGTTTACGTGTGTACTTGTGGGTGGTGTTGTTTACATGTGTACTTGTGGGGGGTGTTGTTTACGTGTGTACTTGTGGGGGGTGTTGTTTACGTGTGTACTTGTGGGGGGTATTGTTTACGTGTGTACTTGTGGGGGGTGTTGTTTACATGTGTACTTGGGGGTGTTGTTTACGTGTGTACTTGTGGGGGGTGTTGTTTACATGTGTATGGAAGCCAGAGATTGTCATCAGGTGTCTTCTTCAGTCTCTTGCTGTCTTATAAAAATACTACTAATAAAAATCATCATCATCATTACTATTTTATTATTTTGATACAAGATGTCCAATTGAACCTGGAACTCGTTAACTTGGCTAGACCGATAAGCCAGTGAGATCCAGTGATCCTTCTGCCTCCACTTCCCCTGTACCAGAAATACAGGAGTGTGCAACAGGACCTAGCTTTACAAAAACAAAACAACAATAACAGGAAGGAAGGAAGGAAGGAAGGAAGGAAGGAAGGAAGGAAGGAAGG